TATATATATATATATATATACACACAGAATATTTTAGAACTTTTGGGACAAGCTTAGAGAGATGGATGATCTCATCAGTTTTTGTTAAGGAACTTATTCTTCCGACACATTTTCAAGGAGCATTTTTTGATCGCGCTGATAATAATATTAGTTTATATCTTTCGATTTTATTTTTGTAAAAAGACAACAAATACGCAAAAACGTAGACTGATGTCAGACGTCGCGCGCAATGCGATCGATTGCGTAATCACAGTCGAATCAAATAAAGATGTAACTCCTCAAAAAGAGAAAGAGAGAAAGAGAATATAAATTTCTTAATAAAAGTTGATTCTTTTGATGAGATCTAGCATCTTCTGAAGTTTTTTCTAATGATCCTGAATTAGTGTCATCGAGACCAACCCGGCGATTGCTATGTCGATGTCTACGTCAAAATACACAGTGATGATATAACTATTATCATCCCAATTCGTCTCATCGCTTTGAGTAGTAATATTCGTTTGTATTTCCACCTTCTTAACATCATACCTCACCATACTCATATCCAGTTGCAGTGTTAATGTTTTCTGAAAAACAATGAGTTGAGTCATCTTTTATTCATCAGTAGAATCTACGTACGTGGAAGATCATCGTACATTCGTTCTAAGAGGATTGCCAATATCGCAGATTACATCCAGCATGTTGCTCACGCGAGGATTCTCCGTACACTCGGGCGGGATACTCGCTAACGTTAAAACCTCGGTGAAGATGCGTACTCTGGTCTGGTATGCTGGTTCACCGCGATTGTAAGCGTCGACGCGGAGAGTAATTATCGGCGCAGAACCAATGATATACCTGTTGCCTAAAGTTGAATCAGTAGACAATGTCACACTGAGATTGGACACGCATATGTTGTCCTCGCCACAATCTACGGAGAATGGCAGCTTTATAAGATCCTCAGTCTTCGAGCGGAGCTTGTTTATCACGACGCAAGATGTGCATAATGAGCTTTCGTTTCTTACATGAAGATCATCTTCTAGTTGCATAGACACCGATATTTCAAGCGGATCTATTACATTTTGAATGTTCTCCTAAAACACAAAAATGTGAATTCAGTGTGTTGAAAAAATCAATATCAAGACATAAAAATGTATGCACCATTAGATGTACTTCAAGTAGATGACTTGTAATCGTAGCTTTAAACAGCGTGTAATACAATCTGTAAGTCTGTAGTCCGTCATTACTTTTCTGTGCTCGATACATTGCCCTGCCATACAATGGATCGATCTTCAAGACTGCGGTGACTTCTAGAGTGACAGACAACAAATTTGACGATGATAGAAGAAAGCCGGGCATGTGTCGTATAATTTTCATCAATATATAATTTTTAAAAAATGACTCATAAATTAACAAATATATAGAATAAAGAATTATACACGTCGATTGCTTACGTAGATATTCGGGTACGTATATGCCATCGTAAGACATCCAGAGATCGATTTTGAAGGTCGTTGTGTTTCTCAACAATTTGATTTTTTGCAAGTACGTCAATGTCACATTTACCGTGACGACTGGCGCGGATCTCAGCAGGACCACTTCGCCGGATAAATACGCACCTACAGCGATATCGGAATGATTATCATGATTCACATCTCGAGGTTCTGAGATAGAGATACCGAATCCCCGTATCGTCGGCGAGAATCGCGAGCCGACTAGTCTCTGACTATATTTTCGAGAAACGCCGTCTCTGTTTCCGTTGAATATGTACACCGCACCGCCGCTCTCTTCCTCATAAGGTGCACCTACAGCGATGTCATCGTAGCCATCATAATCTATGTCACCCAGACACATCACGGTGAATCCGAATTTACCTCCGATAATCTCGCCTTCGAGCGTTTGTAGTTCTTCTAAATTATTCTGAATTTTGCGCAAAATATCATTTTTAGAGAGCTAAACATGTTCTTTTAGTTTTCAATTATAAAGAATATTCAGATCTACTAAGAAATTCTTTAAATGAATAGCTCCATCAGATATAGTGCTTTATAATGAATTTTTCCATGAAAATTTAATCATTTATTATACAGAAAGATTATATAGGTAACGTTGAAAGTTTAAAGCTATGCTGATGAAAGAAAAGTCAAATTTAAATTTGAATAAAATTATTAAATCTGTATATAAATGACATACATTGTGTCGCGCTGTAAAAATGTAGACATGACCCTCGTCCATGTCTCTGGACCATTGTGGTGCACCGACGATTAATTCCTGTCTATGATCATTGTTGACATCGCAGGACGTTAATGCAGCACCGAAGTACTCACCATATTGTTGACCGTACAGTATCGTTTTAATAAACATACGCTGATTAGTTTTAGGAGGAAAGGTAAACACGAGAACTTTTCCATACACATTAGCGGCTTGTGGCGCACTAGAAGCATACCAAACATCTTGCTCATTGAAGTAAGTACCCGCTGTGATAGCATACCCTGAAAACCACCATGGATATATATACATGAATCTGATTATAAGATAAATACAGAAAGTGTACCAATAGTCGGACATTAGATCTTGACTTGTAAAAATATATTTAAAATTTGTTATCTTTATAGTAAAATAAATATTTTTCTAAATGCAAATATTAATTTATATACATTTTTCCTATTTCGCTTTAAAATTTTTTATAATCGAACAATTAATAACAAAGAAAAAAATTTCTGTTTTGAATAATTAACGTATTTGAATAATTCGTCCATTGCTGCGTTTATTTTGAAAGAAAAGTAACAGAAATATATCTTTACCAAAGTAATTGTAACTATGAATCCGCGGCTCTCTAGCCAGCGAGGGAATTATCGTGCGCGAAAATGGACCATTCATTGGAGCGACAGCTAATATCGCATCGCCTTTCCAATTGTAAATGCCTGGACTACCTATTGCGACATTCACAGTATATTGCGAATTCATGTGTAAAGAAAAGCCGGCTTGTCCCACCCCATAATTATAAATGTTTATGTTGTTCTTGGTCGTGATTTGATTTCCAGAGTTCGAAAGGAGTAAGAGATGCTCTTCTGCTTGTCTCTCGAATACATTAGCGCTATTAGCCAGTGTCGTGTAACAAATGCCATTCATATACCAATTCGGCTTGTTATCATTTATAACATTATTTATCCATCGTGGTCCACAAACCTGTTACCAATAGAATTACTGATTGAACAGCAAGGAAGAATTTATATATTTCTTTAGCAGATAGATAATTTTTAAAACGCATTTTCTTTTATTCCCTATAGATTACAGCATACGTAATTGGATCTAATCTTTTTTACAAGAAAATAAATAAAGATTTTATTATCATTTTCATAGTTTTGAATTTTTAAGAGATAAAAAATTAAAAAACTAAAAAATTTTTAATATCAGATATTCCTAATATTTTAAGCTGAGCTAATAATAAATACTTGTACAATAAATTTGTTCTTCATCTAAATTTTATAAAAAAAAACAACATTAACTTCATCAACATTAACTTCATAAATCTAAAATAAAAATCTCAAATATTATCCAATAATGATAACTGACAGAAAATATGAGCAATAACGCACCATAACTCTAGCCTCCGTACTGTTCTGCACGGCAATGGTAGCACCAATCCAAGCATAATCCTTTATCTGATTGATCTGTCTCTTGTAAGGATGTGGACCGTTTCCAGTCTTATCAATCACCCACTCTTTGCATATACCATTCATCGCACACTTGAAGACCGTTCCCGGCTCTGTCACGAACGGCAGTGCATTGGAATTTGCTCGCGGAGCTCCGGCGAGTAGTAAAGATTCATTCACACCCACGTACAAAGCTACCGAAAAACCGAAGTAACTTCCACGTTCACCCGATACATGCACAGGATCTCTGAACACCTCGCCGTTGTATGAATTAATATTGTATGCCGATGGATTGTGTTGCAGAATTATTAAAATGAAAATTAAACTTTGTACACGAAAATACGTTGACCTCATATATGCCCAAATTGCCATTTTGGGCAATGTCAGTTCGAAGATTACGTGTTCGAATAGGATCTGTAAGAAAACTGAGAAGATGGAGTTATTTTGCCAGCGGATGTAGTGAACACCGCAATGACATCACTTACATTAGTCAACGTTTATCTATATAAAACTCCGAGAAGTGGAAACGGAAGGAACCTGTTTTTCAATTGTAGACGAGACTCGTAATTGCAGAATAATAAATCTTTCACGCAAGGTTTGTTACGTTTTCAGTTTCTTCTCGTTTATTCGTAATCAGTTAATAAAGATGTATATAAATGCAAGATTAAATAATGTAATATAGTTACAATAATTCTTCAAAGTTCAACACATAGGAAAAAAATGTATACCAATTTATTACTTTTAATTACTTTCCACCGCACAAACCATATCAACAATACACATTAGCCGAGTTGCCGCATATACTTGAATGCTTAATGCGGATTGTGTGTTAATTCGCGTCTACAGTACAGTTTCTGTTTCATAATTTCTGTCTCGATTACATGATGCAATTTACATAGCCAGATCCGCAAAACATTCACCTCACAATAATGATCAAACTGCTTGAGAATTACCAAGCACTGACAGTCGCATATTACGCGGAACGATAGATGTAGGATTGGTACCAAACAACATTATAATTTCCGTCTATCTAATCAGTGACTTGATTTATGAATGAAATTGATAATATATAACCAACAATATATATTAAAGGATTATAAAGAAAATTTTGAAAAATTGTAAGAAGGAAAGCACGATACATTCACGAGAAATGGGATTAAAGGCAGACGCGCAAGATTTAAAACATGATTTAAAAAAAAAAAGAATCGATCGCATGTTCGCGCGCGATCAACTTAGTGTTATAAAAATATACTTCAAGGAATCACAGATTACATTATGTACAAATGGAAAGGGAATAGGAGATCGAAGTAGAGCGCGTCAGGGAGAGGCGGGGATTTTGATGAGTAAATGTGAGCTCTTAATCGGAAGAATCACTCGTGGTCGAAACTTTTTGAGCTTGGGACGCAGATCGATTACGATAGCTCCTCCTCGCTAGCTCCTCTACTTTTTTCCGGAAACACTCTATACGTTTCAGTTTCTGCTCGTCGGAACTATCGTCCGCGCCTCTGTTGTTTCGTTCCTTACGTGTCTGTTCGCTGTTTTTTCCACCCGTAGATGAAAGTCCCGATTTAATACCGCTATCTGGAGTACAAGGAACTTGAAGTGATTTGTTGCTCGGCGTTGACGGTCCGTCTTCACGACGGTCTTTACTAGAATTACCATTAACACAATTTCTCGAGCTAGCAGTTTTCTCTTCTTCCTCTGAATCGTCATCGAGTTTCTGTCGTTTATTTTGGCTCTTACCAGAACCGTCGTTCGAGTGTCGAGAACTATTTTTGCACTTTCGATGCTTTCGTTTGTGTGCCTTCGCGGAGGTATCCGAATCAGTTTTAGAATGTTTTCGTTTACTGATACTGGCGACAATGTCCTCGTAAACGCAGCTACTGCTGCTGCTATAGCTCGAGCTCTTGTCGTCTTTCTCGATCGCGCTAGTGACGTATCGCGATCTCCGGAAAATCACCCCGGAACTAGTACTGGGTTGAGCCGCATCAACCGGTCGTTCGTCGTCACTGTCCGAATCACTATTGACTTTTAACACAGTACACTTTCGTCTGGTAGATAGTCTTCTTCTGCTAGACAATCTGGTATGTTTTCTCTTAACACTCTTCGATTTTGACTTCGATTTGGATCTGCGTTTCAGATGAGCGTTGTCTCCTTCACTAGCGGAATCCGAGGGGGATCGTTCCATCGCGGCCATTCGCATGAGCTTTTTTCTGCGATTCGCGATAAGCCGAGTTATGCGATTTGGCGACTCTAACGGCCTTTCGGGAGCTACACCGCCTTCCGATGCCGTAGTATCTACGATGAAGAATAACGATATTTTACATTATTCTATTGAATCTGGAAAAGAATATAATTAAAAGTGAAGCAAAAATTTATCTCTTAAAATAATAAAACAAACAAACAATGTCTAAACATTACAAAATAAAACTAGAAGATATATCTAATCTTATCAAATACGCACGAAATATCCAATTGTTCGAATAGAAATAGAAAAATTAGAATTTATAAAAATTAAAATTTTTTATATTCGATATTTTTGTGATATTTTTTTATTTTGCTTCACGTAAAACTATACCATCTTTTTAAATACAGAAAATTATTCTCTCAGTACCATCGCCTTCTGTCGCGCTATACGGTTCGCCCGTTGCTGGATTTATTTCAGAATCGCTGGGAGTATGAGGTGTTGGCACATCCTCGGAACTCCAGCCTTCAATTTCGCGCTGCACAAGGGAATCGAAAAAGGCCATCATTCGTGGATCTTCCTTAGTCGATTGATGGCTGTAATCGTGCGTCATAAACTGTCCACTACGTAAAACCAGTCCTATATATTCATCATGTGTGAATACTCGGCGTTGTTTCTCGCGCTTGCCAGCGTCTCTCTGAAAGAAGATAAAAGGAACGTTGATAGACAATGTCAAATCATAACAGTTATTTGAAAAGAACTATCATAAGCAACAGTAATAGAATTTCTACAATAAGCAGTTAGTCACCATTTATATCATACTAGTAGTAAGTCAAAATTATAAATCATAAATCTTGGGAAACTTGTATCTAGAAATCATATTAAATTATGCGTCACAATATTTCAATCAAGAGGTTCTCAGAGCAAACAATACACGTGATTGGTTAGTTATAACATAATCTAAATTATAATCGACCATCTCCACGCAGTCAATGATTGATATTGATTTATTGTTGCCTTATGCCATATTATTGATTCGCTTATAACTCGCTCGACTTTTGATCTATTATTAATGACTTATTGTAGAAAATCCATTATTGACTTATAGAGCCATCTACAATGGAAATAATATTGCGCAGTACGCAGTAAGCAGTAAGAAATCCAATCGATTATTTTTTTCACATTCGACATTTTTTTCTGATTCGTAAATTTCTTACAATTTTCTACATTATACTACTCCCATTGTAAATGACCTTTTCTTATTACCTTAAAATACGCTACTGACTCGCTTATAACTCGTTCCTGACTTCTAATTTGCTACTAATGATTTATTGTAAGAAGTTCATAACCTTCAATCCTCCTAAACATCCGCTTCCAAATGAAAATGGACTCCAAATCTTAATAATCTTCTCGACGCCAGACGATGCAAGGATACAGCTTGTTTGATTGTATCGAACTTGATTAACGATCGATCTGTGACCACGCAACACCATGTGGGCGGATTCCACCCATGATTTGCCATCGGGAGGAGGAATTTTCCACATATACAGGTTGAAATCATCCGAACCTACAAATTCATTGCATAAAAATTCATATGTATCATCAATTGTAATTTCTTTCTATAATCATTTATGCTAAATACCTAGATATATATATTCGAAATATTTTTCTCAGATATACATAGCAATTTACATTTATATCAGTTATACTTGCCAGAAAGAACGTATTCGTCATTCTCACCGGCGAAACAGCAAGATTTCATGGTACAACTGTTGTAATATCCCGTATGATCAAATTCGCATAAGTGCGTGGGAGAATCGACAGCGTAAAGAACCGGTGGTAGTCTTCTTCGTAAGGCCAGCAATCGATCACCCATCGAATTAAATCTGACATTCATACAACTCTGTTGCGGGCTTCCATAACACAGTACAGGCCTATAGATAAAACATGATGTTTAATGACTCCAAAAAATCGATGACTCTGAAAAATTGCGGATATATTATACTATTGCAACACACTTATAACAATAATGTTTCATACAATTATTACACAATAATGTTTCATATAACACTTAAACATTGGCTACTTCAGAAAACGCAACGGTTGAGTGAGCGCTATATTCTTTCAGATTTATCACCTATAAAGATCTACTTTAATTACAAGCAACATTCGTTTAACATTTATTATTTATCGAATCACATGTTCGTATACTTACTCCAAAGGTTTTCGTATATCCCACATACTGACACCTTCTTTAGCGTTGGCAGTAGCGAGCAGTCTCGGATCCACGGGATTAAACATGACAGAGTGGAAGGCGCTTTTGTATTGTGCCAAAGTTTCCATAGCGTTGTTAGTACGTATATCGTAAATGAGAACTCTCCCGTCGTCGCAGGCGCTGGCGAAGACTTCGTCATTGTGCGGATGAATGGACAGCCCATAGACAGGCTTTTCGTGCAGGAAGATGTTGAGGGATTCGCCCCTGCAAAACGGCGTCTCTTAATCTCCGCTGATTCTGTTAGTACGCATTCCACGCATTGGTTGTGGAAAAAATGCCTTACGTGCGCAAATCGTGAACTATAACTTGATCATCATTCCCAGCGGAGAATATCTTAGTCTTGCTGCTATCATAACCAAGGCAAAATATATTGCTAACATGTTGCGATTTCATCACGGTGGGCCTGCCGAAATTATTTATCGCTTGCTCCACTCTCCATAATAGAACTCTTCTGTCGTCGCCTCCTGTGAAAATAGGACGTTACATGCCATTCACACGTGATTCATCTCTCTATTATTAGAATATATTTTCCAAATTTTTCTAATGTGGCACTGTGTCGAGCAGTGCTGTTTCACGGAAACACGCACGCCCTTATCTCAAACTGAGAGAAAAGAGTAGAAGCTTTTTCAACGTAAGAATCAATATTTCCGACATCAACGGATACTACGTATGTGCATCATAAGAAATGGAAAAGAAGGACATAATAAATGTCATAAAATTGATCGAAAAATCGAAGTTGATCCAATTAAGATTAGATCAACGGTCGTCAAGGCACTTACGAACTTTTGAAGCGACGCAAAATAAAAATAAAAATAATGACAATAATAGCAGTTTGCTGCTTGAAAATTAGCATCGTTTCAAGTCCTAAACGAATTACGACATCATAATGGTCGATCGAAGGGGACGAAAGCGCGAGTAATAGTGATCCTCTCTTTTCCTCTCGCGAGAAAATCGAGGGACAGGCGTAGAAAATCAAGTCAACAATCGGACTCACCGGACACCAGCAGATCGCCCTGGTTGGAGAACTCGATCGCGTTGACGCATCCATAGTGGGACAGCAGATCCTTCCTATAAAGATTCTCGGCGTTCGCGAATCTAGCGTTGGTCAAACTCCGGCAGTAGTCGATCTTGTCGTCGATTTGTCGCGCAAGGACATAGGACAGTGCGCTGCACTCGGACGGATGGGCGACCTCTCCGGCCCCGTCGCCACCCTCGCACGTCTGTCGCGGTAGTCGTCGGCGCCGTCGTCGGAGGTTGCCGGCGCGGAACCGAACGCGGCCGTCTGCCTCCCCGTCGACAACGACGACGGCTGGCGGCTGACGATCCTCCTGGCACGCGTCGCCGCGCGACGACGACGCCGCCGTCATCGGCATCCCCGTCGTCGCCGTCGACGTCGTCACCGTACGCTCGTCCCCCGTGGTTGTCGTCGCTCCGGCCACCCTCCGCGGACGATCGCCACGCGTTTTACTTCGTTTATCCTCCCCGTACCCGGCGCGCGTGGATGGACGTGCGCGAACGTCGCCGAGCGCGACCACCAGAGAAAAGAGCGAGCGCCCCTTCACGCAGTATCACAGATCGGGCACGTCGCGATCGCTGCGCTTCCTCCTCCTCCTCCTCCTTTTGGCCTCCTCCTCTTTTACCACCTCCGCCTTCTCTCCTCCCTTGCGAGTGCTGTTTACTTTGCACTAACGTCTACCGATCGTGCCTACGGAGAATTCCTCTCGTCGAAGATATCGCCCGTTCCCACGACTTGCGCCAACAAGAAAAAGACGTAACAAGACGCGGATGAAACGGTATACCCGATACGATAACGTAGCTCGCAGATCGTGGACGGTCGAAACGCCACGACGCACGGTTCTGTGTGTACACACACGCTCGGCTCAACCTGTACCGGAAGTTTCACTACCACACTGTCACCGTCACCATCATCGTCGCCACCATCACTACCACTACCATATCAATCCGCTCTCCGATCAGCCAACCGTTTGTCTCCTCCTGTCGCTGCTCGTCCAGCCCGATCAGCTGATTCTTTGGCCCCCCCGTGCGGTCACTTCAGTCGTTTCGATGTTTGCCGGTGCTGCTGCTGTTGCTGTCGACGACCGTTGTCGTGTTGAAAGAATATTCGTTTGAACCTACTAATCTGTTCAATGTCGTGTATAAACGCGTTCTCGCGTAAATACTATCCAAATTCATAATCGTTAAAAACGAGCCGGCTTTCGACAAACTTCACTCTGGCGGAGAATTGAGGGAGAATCTGTCACATTTGTTTCCCGGAATCAGACGTAAACACTGCTACGAGTCATGGAAACTAGCGATGCATTGCGGCCTTTACATGTACTACTTACGGGTCCACCAGGTTAGAATCGAGGACTAGGGAGGGGAAGATTCAAATAAAATACATAAAGCGGTGGTCTTATAAAGAAAATGCTATAATTAAATCTAATTAAAATAAGCGCTTGCTAATCAAATAATATACTGCAACAAAAAACTGGGTCACTATAACGTTACAATAGCCTGCTCTTTTACAGGCGAGTATGATGTTTTGGACATACATATGAAATACAATAAATATACACACATTTTTATTATAGTATATTAAAAGGTCGGTCCGTTATTTACGCATGATGTATTGTTTTATCCTTTGTTTAACATTCAATGAACAAGAATAAAATGCTACAGCATATGTATTAAAATGGAATGCACCTTTTTAAATTTTATAATACAAATATATATATA